CGAGAGAATGAATAAGGAAGCAAGTGAGAAGTGAGAGCTCCGGCGAGCAGATAAACAAGCAAAAGTCTCATGTAAGTGGATGTCTAAGTGGATCAATGGGGGGACTGGATGAATTCATTAGAGATTGACTGGATGAATGGGTGAGGGGAGAATTTGGTAAGGAATTGAAAAAAAGACGAATCAATGAGTGAATAACGGACTAAGGGGATAAAAATGAATGGGCGGTCTTATGAATTAATGAATGAATGATTGCATAAATAAAGTAGGGACTATGGATGATTATTGGAGTGAGCCGGCTAGTGGCTGTGGTCTCCGTTGCTGGAGTCAGGAAGCCGGGAGGTACTGGTTCCTGTGGGCACTCATTACCTCCCCTCATCTCACAGCAATGGATCCCCCGCCCTGGGGCCTCTTCTCCATTAGCAGCTGTTTCATTATGTACACATATAATAAAGATCTCCGTGTGTCTGTGTATGTGTGTGTGTGTGTGTCGTTCACCTCTCCGCCAGAACTGTGCCCAAACCATTGAAAAGCAATGTCAGTAAAATAGTGTATCTCCAGTGGCTTGTCTACCTGTCTCCCTCGCCGATGAGAAACAACTCGCAGCAGCGGGTTAAGCTGACAATAAACACAGGAATTGACTTCAGTGGGAATGAACTTGCTTGACTGTTGACAAAACTCCAAGGTGACGCCACTTTCACTGGCTCACCGCTTGCTCAGATGGCTGCTGACCTATGTTGTTTTCTCCCTTCTTGGGACAGGGGGAAGGAGGGATAAAGGCCTGGCTGGTGTGCCTGTCTCTGAGCCTGTAGGTCACAGTGTCCTGCACAAGGCGGAGGAGTCTTGCTTGGCTTTTGTGGTTTGCATGCATTTGCCCACTGAGAGGGTACTGGGAAATAGAGTGAGGTCTGGCCATGGAGGCCTCCATCTCTCTGCCTCCTGCTTGAGCAGTCAGCAGAGATCATGTGTGGGGCTCGAGGTGCACAGGGGTTGGGGCTTGAGATGTTGGCCTGAACCCCTGGGACCAGAGGGGAGAGGCATTCTTCTCCCATCCCCACTAAAGCACCAGAAGAATGGATTGCAGAGCACAACCCCAGGAGACTGTATTCTGAGACCAGGAGGCAGGACCTGCCCCCGCCCTCCGCCCCCAGGCCAGGGCTGCGCTGCGGTGTCCAGCCCAGCAGCACCTGCCTGTGAAGGAACTGACAATAAGCAGGCTTCAGCAGAGGGCACTCAAGTCCTAGGAATCTGCACTCAGGAACTGCGCGCTCGGCTCAGTGGCTTCCCGGGGAACCGGAGTCATGAATCTCAGTAACTCGAGCCTAGGGCCTCATCACTCACAGTGATTGTAGACGGGCTGAGAGCTGAGTGGATCAGCCTAAACAAAACACACACACAGGGGACTTATCCAAAGGCGCTAGCTTGGCCACCCCTGGGGGCTTCCCCTCCTTAACCACAGAAGTAGGGAATAGAGGGAGGGGCTGGAGGGCTTGGGAGCCCTGAAAGTATTACCCCCTTCTTCCGAGCCTTATCTGCACCCCCCACCTGTGAGCCAGTGGGAGGCATGAATCTCTCTGGCAGCGGCTTGGGCCAGCTCAGCCGTTTTAGGGGATGTTAATGAAATTCGGGAGCACTTGTCCTTTCAGACAGCGGCCCCTTTTATTTGGGAATGAAAAGCTGCATTAGTCTGAATGAGGTTTGGAGGCCTCATAAATCCAGTGCTGGCTGCCTCGTGGGGGAGTGGGGAGCTGAAGCCTGGCTGGTGGATAGACTTGTTTACCAACAATTCCAAAAGCCAGGATTGGCGGCTCCCAGTCTCCAGAGATGGGGCTTGAGATCTTGCCAATCCTGCTATCTGCTGGCTTTGGGGTGGCCTGAAGAGGTCCCTGAGAGAGGACTGCAGAGCTCTCTTAAGATTTGGGGGGTGGGGTAGGGGCTGAACTCTCCAGTTTACTCCGGTTAAGGATCCCATTCCATTCTGCTTCCAGCATGCCCTCAGGTAGCCAGAGGCTCCAGGGGCTTCTGCTGGGGTCAAGAGGCTCTGAGTGGAGCCATTGCTGCTCAGCACAGGTGGTGTAGGACACCGCAGGGGCAATGCGGCCAACTTAGCAGCCTGCTGGGTCTGTGTTCAAAGCCAGGCAAACAGTAATGCCTAATAAGTGTTAGTGGGAGGAAGGAAGTCAGAAAAGAAAGAAGGGAGGGAGGGAAGGAGAAAGGAAGCTCTCTCTCTCTCTCTCTCTCTCTCTCTCTGTGTGTGTGTGTGTGTGTGTGTGTGTATGTGTGTGGACTTCTTAAGCCCTCTGAGCTTAGATTCTTCATCTGATCAATGGAAAAATAACAGAGACCATCATGATGTTTCGTGGAGAGGACTGGACGAAGCGACAGGCAAGGTTGTAAGTACCTTGCCAAGACCGCAGAAGACATGTAAACAAACACAAGAGTCATGGCTGTCATCAAGGGTGTTTTTGCTGCACAGCGCATCTCGCCCTTCCCCCACGACTGGAAGGGATTGAAGCCCCTATCAGTTTGGAGAGATGACTTGCAGCTAGGGCAAGAACAAGGGGTCAGGCCCCTAGCTGGGGATAGCAACTTCTGCCCTAATCTACCCCAAGATTCCAAGAGGGGCTGTCAAACCCTGCCTGAGCCTCACCACCTCTGCAGCCAGGAGGCTGTACCTACTGCAACCTAAAGGGAACCAAGACAAGCTGCCTCTATCCTTAGCTAGGGAAGCCCACCTGCCTGGGGATGGAGCTGGCTGGGATGCCTGTTTCCTGGGGCTGGAGACGAGGCTCTGGTAACAGAGCCATACTTTCCCCTTTGGAAGAGCTCGGATTTCCTTCTTCATCCATTTGCTGTGATAGTGCCATTGCATCTAGCTTTTAGGGAGCCTACTCATCTCCCCCCACCCTTTAGCTCTCCCTCCAACTGGCCTCTGAAGTGTTCCTCCCTCTGACCACACGGCTACCTTTCTGCTGCTTCGGTTTCCTGCCAAACCACTCGTCCCAGCCTGCTCAGGTCAGGGGGGTTTTGCTTGCAGAACAGGCAGCCAATAGAATCAGTCAGCCGTGGGCACTGGACTCGGTACTCTTTCCAGCCCTCCCTTTCTCCACCAGGACACAGAACGATCTTCCCGAGAAAACAGCCAAGTTCTTTAGGTTCAGGGAACCAACCAAACCTAGTTCTGAGATTGGAGGTTATGCAATCGGCTGCCTCGTGTGTCTCCGATGACTCCTAGCTGTGTGTGTGTGTGTGTGTGTGTGTTTTGGGAGTTGGGGGAATGGTGGTGTCCTCCGCTCCACTCTTCTGCAAGCCCCCATGCTGGTTCCTTGGGGCCTATCCTCTAAGATCTCCACTCCCTATGGAGAGGTGACAACTGCGGATTTGTGTCCTAACCCTCGCCCCTCCCTTTAGAACAACACTTGTCAGAGGGTGCTGGGGAGGAGGAGCCATTCTAGACCCAGGGAAGGCCCAAGTAAGGCAAATTCGTAGAGCTCCTTAAAGCAGCTGGTCACCTACGCTGTCGCTGTCCGAAGACAAGGCACACATCTCTCTCTTTTCCTGGGCAGGGCCCAGAAACTCTTTGCTCCCAAAGCCACGGGTGCAAGTTCAGACGAGGAGCCCCTTCCTAGTTTCCAATTGGCTATGCTGCCCGATTCGCATCCCCACACAAAGTCTAGGTTCCCTGCGCCCGGATAGGGCGGGGGGGGGGGGGGGGGGCCGAGACGGCAAAATTAACAGGCGGGTTTGGAGCGCAACACATTATCTATTTGTAAGAAAATTAAAGATTTGCTCTTTAGATGTAGGGGGCCATGCTCTTACCAGACAGCTGGCAAATGGGAGAGATTGGAAGTGATTGAATAGATCAAATTATTTAAATGAGAAAAATAAATTCGCACACAGCCTAGCCGCTGCCCGGTGACAGATCCGTTTATTTATCTACTGTATCGGTACCGCTTTGTCTCTGTCAAAAAGGTCATTAAACTCGCCTAGCTGGGTAATTCGCTGCCTCCTGCTCCTGCCTCGCTCCACAGCCCTTCTCTTCCCTCGACACCAAGCGCCACTCGGAAAAAAAAATTGTCATTGGTAATAAACAACATTTATTTTTAACCCTTTCGGCTTGCTCCCTTGTGGGTCCTACTCTGTCCCACGGAAAATCAGTTTTTCTGTATTGTTTCTAAGGAGGAATCCGAGAGGGGGCTCCAGTTCCTCCCGCATAGTTGCGGAAGAGGACTGAGACTTCAGCCGGCTCCAACTCCAGCGGCCCTCAGAAGTGAAGGCTTTGGCGGTCTTTCTCCGCAGCCCTCCTTCTGATGGTGCGTGGTCAAGTCCTACCTTCCACGCAGAGGGTCTGGCCTGGTCTCTCCCTTCGGGCTAGTTTCCGAAGCTCCTCACCCTTAAGCCCAGCATCGACAGTTCTCTGAATTTTATCCCCCCCACCCCCCTCCACATACGCCAACCTCCAAGCCCAGGCCAACCCTGCTATCCCAAGGGCTGGACATCAGGAGGGAAACCAGCTCTAGGTCGGTCTCCTGCCGCTGCCGTCCAGCCAGCTCCGACCGCGTGGGAGCTGAACGGCGAAGCTCCGCAGACGGCGGGCTTCGGGTCTTGAGGCTCCCGGCGGGCGCTTTTCCTCCAGCTGGTAGGGCCGCTGGGCTGTCGCCGTCTCCCGGCTCGCGGTGCCAGATCTGCCGCTCCACGCTTAGCTCCCCGGCTCCGTGCCTTGCCCTGGGGGCGGCAGGGCAGATGGGGACGTCTGAGCTGCGGAGGAGAATCTCCATCCTCTGGGCGTCCCCCCCCCCCTCCCAAATCCAGTCCAGGGTCCCCTTCCCCGCCCCCTGCGCAGGTGTGAGCGCGCGAGTGTGCGCCCGGGCGAGTGTGAGTGGGAAGCGCGTGTGCGCGGGGGAGTACGCGGAGGGAGCGCAGGCGGCGGGCGGCGCGGGAGGCGGGAGGCAGGGCGCGGGGGAGGGGGCTGGGAGGGAGTGTGTTCGCGCGTGCAACTCCACTCCGGGGCTTTGTGCGAGCCCGGGCGATAGCATCGGCGGCGGCTGGAGGAGGAGCGGCCGGAGACGCGTGCAAGCCCGCTCGGCAGCCGGGGCAGGTGGGAAGCCCGCGCGGGAGCTGAGCCGACACGAACCGGAGACGCCGCAGCCTAGTCCGAGCGGAGCCCGGGCGGAGCCCAGGAGCACTTGCTCGCAGGCGGCCTGTGGGCGGCAGCCGAGGCGGGGCGGGCGCCGGCGAGGCGGCCCCCCAGTAAGATGTGCGCAGCGCCGCGGGGCGCCCCCTACTCGCAGAGGCGCTCGGGAGCCGGGCGGCTGGGCCAGGCGGCGCCTCGGGGGCTGCTGCTCGCCCGCGCCTAGAGCTGCCGCCCCAGGGAGCCCGCCACGGCCGCGCCCCGGGCACGCTCGGTGGCGCCCAACGATGACCGCTCCCTGGCGGCGCCTCCGGAGTCTGGTTTGGGAATACTGGGCCGGGCTCCTCGTGTGCGCCTTCTGGATCCCAGACTCGCGCGGGATGCCCCACGTCATCCGGATCGGTAAGGGCTCCCCTGGAGCCGGGGGTCTCTGCGCGCTCGGGTGGGGACGGGAATTGGAGTGGGGGTGCTCTGAACGTGATCCGAGAGATTGTCCCAACCTCCCTCTAGGCTGCAGGGCTCTGAGGTCTGCTGGGAGCTCTTGGTGGAGAGGACAAAGTTCCAAAGCCCGGGTCGCGGGCCTTACTTACGGGGAGGAGGCAACCGGGCCGCTGTGGGCAAGGGGCCCTAGGCACGCTCCAGGGAAGGCGACGCGGTGGAGTGTGGCGAAGGTTCCAGTCCCAACCCCGTGCCTCGGGGGAATTTCGTCGCGACTGTCAGCATGGATGGCCGCAGACCGAGTTCTGGGACGGGTTTCCGTGCAGAGTGGGAGCCCTGGGGAAGGCGATAACTTCTCTCCCCTTGTCGCCCCCCTATGGGCTCTTCTCCGGAGCTCGGGGACGGACGAGGGCAGGGAGTGCAGGGGATGGATTCGCCGAACGGGGGCAGCTGATCTCCTTGCTCCTGGCTGACCAAGGAGCGGAGCAGAAGAGGGGAAGCCCCCTGCACGTCGCTCCAACACCTCCCCCCCACCCCCCCGCCCCAGGCCCAGGCCTCTTTCTACCAGGGGTAACCGAGGCTAAGGAATGGAAGTGCAGGAGGCCGCCCAATGCTGCGGGAGACGGCAGCCGAGAGATGTGAGCGGCTTTTAAAGTTAGCCGAAATCCCTCCGCAGCTGGCGGCGGCTGGCGATCTGCGCGCGGCTTTCTGGGGCTCTGGCTTCTCCGCTTCTCTCACCTCCGCAGATTTCTTACTCTGGGCTTTAACTTTGTTGTGACCGCCTGAGGCACCCTGCGCGGCAGTTCTCGGGGCTGGGCGGGAGCAGGTGTGTGTCCCTGGCCAGCTGACCCGCGGGGCTGGGCCAGGATGGGCTACCCAGGAGCCTCGGTTACCGCGGGCCCAGCGCCCGCGTCGGGCCAGAGACCTTGCCAGCCCGGGTTCGCGAGGCACCAACATCTGGTGCACAGTTCTACCCAGCCAGGGCCAGTTCCTCCTCCTCCTCCGGGGCTCTCCACCGGGAGCCGACTTTTCTCCTACAAGAGCGGACTTTGGGGTGACCAGTGGTTTGATGAAGATGCAGGAAACTCCGGCCAGGCTTGGTTTTTCCTTGAGGTTTTTCCTAGGGTGCAGCCCTCCCGCTTACTCTCCCTAGAGCCCTGTCCTCTTGAACTCAGCTTCTGAATGGGTTCGGAAAACAGTCAGCTCTACAGTCGTTGAGGTCTTCCAGTGCCTGCCCAGGACTGAGGACCAGGAATCAGAGAAGTCCAGGCACCTGAGGGGACCCTGGGGACAGTCCTCCCAGTCAAGCTTAACCCTTTGAAGCCTAGGTTTCTCCAGAATAGCCAAAAATGTTCTCTATCTCTATTCCTGTCCCAGTACTGGCATGGACACCATTCCAACTAGTCCCTTAATAGTGGGCCACTGCTTTATTTATTTCTGTTCTCATTTCTTGTGATTTTTAGGGGACCTTCATGGTAGAGTGTCCTTGAGATAGAAAGGGAATCTCAAAGGGTGCTGTGCGCCTCTTATATGCGTCGCAGGTTCTGCCTTTCTTGGTCTTCCCTCTACAGAGTGGGATGGGTGTGTGTCCAGCCCACTGTCAGGAATGGAAGGCCTAGGGAGACAGGTGCAGGTGAACAGGGCCTCAGAGGTATGGTCTACAAATGGGCAGGGTACGTGGTTCTCACCTGCCCTTGTCGCTGTGACAGTACATAGAGCTGTACAGGGGTCTCCTCATTGCCCTGAAGGGAAGCACGTTCCAAACCTGTGGCCCTTTCTTGGGCCACAGTGTAATAGCGCAATTAAGGATGGCAGAGCCTCCCCCCCTTCTAATCTTCTTCATATTAAGCCCCAGGATTAATTAGCGTGTCGGCCCAGGCCATTTATATCCAAGAACCCTTCCCTATTTGATTCCAAGCCCGAGGACTGGGGTGCTGTACTGATGCCAAACGTGACTGCTGGAGCAGGGCCAGCTTTGGGTGGAGGATGGGAAGGCTCTGAGGCTTGCGGGGATTCTTTGGAGCTACCCTGGGAACTGAGCTTCTGTTCTTCCGGAGTTTGAGGTTGAACCCCAGCTGGAGTCAGGGCACTGGAGACTGGGGTGGGGGAAGCAGACTGCAACCCAAAGATCCTGCCTTGGCTAGACTGGATGCCATCTCTCATTTCCCATCTCTGGGATCTGAGGCCTCTTGGCTGGGGTTGCAGGGATTGAGGCCCTGGAAATTGGCCTCCTCTGAAGCATGCTGGGTGCTTCTGCCAGAACTACTGGAGCTTGGAGCCCGAATCCCTTCTCCAGCAGCCAGGCGTCGCTGAGCACGCGGGACTAGAGACGGTTTACCTGCAGGTGCAAGATGGGCTCTCTGGCCTGGGGAGTATGGTACCCGCCCCTTCTCTTTGTGCCTCTTTTGGGGGCTGAAATTCCTTCTTAGACAAGGAGATGGATAGCTCAGCAGTGTGACTGAGTGTTCAAACAATCCGTCTTGAATAGATGAATTGCATTGCTCTGTCTTTTTGTAATTGTGTCTATCAGAGGAAGAGGTCAAGGCATTGATTGCTTGGATGGTTTGCGAGTAACAAAGGAGAGTGAGGGAGAGAAAGTGAGGGAGAGAGAGTAATTGGATTGTAGTCTGCGGGGGGAAAATGATCATTGATTATTTTATATGAATATGTGGAAGATGTATTCTGTATGTGATTATCAAGGGCTGCCATTGAAGGTTTGTGAGGCAGATTGGTCTGCGTTTTATTATTGTTGTTGTCATCGTTATTGTTGTTTGAATGGATCCTGGTCTTAACTTAGGATAGGCAGTTAAATGCAGGGTCTTCTCAGCCTAGTGAGCTTAGTGACCTTCTGTGGGGACTTGGATTTACAGGTTCATAACCTAGAAGTTGAAGAGGAAGGTGACAGACCTAGAAGCTAGAGACTTGGATTTTCTGTTCTTTTTGCTCCTAGTGAACTGGATCACTTTGATACAATCCTATTTTTCCGACTCGGCTGCTCAGTTTCCCCAGATGGACACATGTGATGGACATAAATGGTGGTGTCAAGTTCCCTTTAGAACAGGCCAGCAGGAAATGGTTATCGTCCTTGTAGGGTTCCTGGTTATATCTTCCCTAGGACTACAGATATACTATAGGATCCAGGGCTGCTTGGAATTTGAAAAGGGAACCCGGCGGTGGTGGCAGCAGCTGGGGAAACCTGGCGAGTCTTCCTTGTGACAAGGAGCCTGGTGGCTGGTAGTGAACTATGGCCAGCCACTGGGGAAGTTCAAAGCCAAATGACTGCAGTGACATAAAGCAGGAGTGGGGGGGGGCGGGATGGGAGGGAAGGGCACACCTAGCTCTGCGTTCTTGGAGCGTCCACAGACAGGGCAGCGCTAAGCCGTTTCTGAATGTACAGGGATCCATCCACCCTTCTCAGGGGAATAAAACCCCTCTGCCACATGCCACTCCTCTGATCAGATCCGTCCAAATTGTCCTGAACACTCGCCCCTTGAGTTTGAGAGTCACCGCATGTAAAACAATGAGGGATTCTCCTGACTGGCGACGTGCGGAGACTTTGCGCCTTGTAGGAACAGACAGCCGCTGAATGAAGATCAATAGGGTTTCCTCCCCCAGAAGTAAATAGCTTCAGACAAAACCTGGGAGTGGCCCGAGGGGCCTTAGAAAGCATTAACTTGAGGAATTCCTGCTCACTTTTCAGCCCAGCTGCTCCTGTCAGCTCCGGCTTCCTCCTTTCTCCAGCTGGAGTTTAATTTCTCCTCGATGCTCCCACTGCGTTGAGCTGTCTTTTGAAGGCCGGCCGGATGACCTGAGGCTTTTAGGATGTGGGGTGGGGTGGCCAGGCCTGTTTAAGCTTTTCCGAGGTCATGGGCATCCCCCTGTGGCTGCGCCTGATGGCTTGAGTTTAGAAGTCTTGCCCAATAGTGCTGTTTTAAAGAGGTTGATCTCTGTTCTGAACCCCTACAGAAATGCAGGAGTGCTTGGCTCCCTTCAGCATCCTCCATGACTCCCTCCCTGGGAGCCCCCATGTCCACCCAGGCACCTTGTTCTAGCACTGGGAAGTAGAGTACCCTGCAGAGACAGAAGGCCCAGGTGAGCCTGTAGGTGTTAGAGCTACCCTTCCTCGCTCAGCAGGCAAGGCCTATGGAAGGAAGGCTGCAGGCTTCCGGTAGTCTTGGAGGGCGAGAATCATGCTTCTTAGCTAGGTCTGTCTCTAATGCACTGAGGCAAGGCCTCCCCACCCTCTCACAGTCGGCCACCCCTTCCCCCTCCTGCAGCTGCAGCCTGAGCCCTATCATCCTTCCTCAGGACCTTCTAGAGGCAAGTGGGTAGGGGATAGAGGTCTCCAGGCCCTGTCTGGCAACAGAGAGGACTGACGTCCAAGAATAAGGCCCTCCTCTAGAGCCTGCAGCCAGCAGCCCCCGGCATATCCTCCACAGGCTAAAGTGGTGGGATAGGAGCCCCGAATAGGTAGAGTCCCCCAGAAGGTCAGACAAGAGCTGGCACCTTGGCCTTGCTTCCTGGAGCGCTTTTCTTCCCTGTGCTGATTCCTCGGCAGCAGCACCAGAGGGCAGTGTGTCTGTGCTCAGATGGCCACCCGAGTCTCCTGCCTGGGGCCCCTACTGAGTCTGGAGCATAATCAAAATAATAAAACACCAGCAATACCATGGCCATAGTTTATTGGGCACTTAATAGCTGCCAGGCTGTTTGGAACACTTTCCAAACAATGACAAGTAGCAGAGAGATAGTAAGTGTTCAATAAATGTAGCTGCCGCATTTTTCTCCATTATCTGATTGAGCATCTACAGTGTTGCTGGTGCCCCCCCCCGTTTTATTTTTTTTTTGCAGACAAAGGAACTAAGCGAGGGGAACTCACTTTCCCAGGAGCCCATGCTAGTGCTTGGTAGACCCAGGATTTGAACTGCAGTCTGCTTCCAGATCTGGTGCTTGGAGCTGGCTATGTA